GAAATCCGGGGACTGCGTCTACCTGATGAGCCCCAAAAAGGGCGAAACCGGTCGTGAGCTGTCGATGGATTTTCAGCAACCTTATGAGTAGTACATTACATAGCTATACATGGGTGCTTATTATTTTAAAGAGGTGATGGTTGAAAAGTCAGACCAAAGTAAGCGTTGCATTTACCAAGAAGAGAAACATGTTCTTATATGTCTAATTGCTTCATTTATATTTTTTCAGGCGCACCTGGAAGCTTTTCGTTGCGAAGTTCTGCATACGCACAATCGCTATCGAGCAATGCATGGTGTTCCGGATCTGAAACGAAGTGCAGTGAGTTCAAAACCTCCACTTCTTGATTACCTCTGTTTTCTTCCCTTTCCATACAAGTTCCGAAAAACCCGTAAACAACTAAAACTAAGGAACAGGTTTCGAGCTTCGTGACTTTTCTGGTTGGTTGTCCTGGCAACACAGGTGCGTCAACTGATCGACAAAGTCATGACAGCTGGTAGGTCGCCCTTCGAGACGGCGTGCACACGAGCGGTTCTGACAAGCGGTTCCTTTTTTCAGGTAATTCGGGTGCGTCCAGCCTGTGCTTGTAGAGTAGTTTTATCAAGCTCCCCTCGCGGGTTAGATGTCAGGAGTCCGGGGACTAAAATACCGGCACGGCCAAGGATATACACAGTCAATAGACTCTAAAAGCAGAAAAATCGAATCCGTTATTTCCATTATTTGGTGTGGATTCATCGGAATGATTGTGTCAGAACGGGAGGCGGACTGCTGAGACGACTGCTCGCGAATACAGGCTTCACAAAACTCACATCGAACGCCTTTTATCCCTTCCATTCTAATCACTTTCAAACTACTAGCCGTTTATTAGTAACAAAGTATCAGCGCAAAAGAATACGTGCCCTGGAGATAAAACAGAACAGGCAATAGACAGATAACTGCTGTTTTAGTTTCATAATCTGTTCCCTGGATCTAGGACGTGAATAGCTGAACGAGCCAAGGTAGGGATAGCATTATGTATCGTGTATGAAGATATTCGGTGAAGCCCTGTGTTGTGACCTGATGGACGATCGTGCATCTCTGTATCGGTCCCTTGGCTTCCGGCTCCGCCCACTATGGTATATCAAAAGGCACGGTAGCTACACACAGCCCTTTATGGAGACAAAGGAAAATTAGTACAACTGTATTTCTAAGGTAGTCACAATGTGTTCCACAAGGTCGTGCTAGAAGCACCCTGAGGGGGCGAGAAGCGTCCAGTCAGGGATGCTCGGTCCGGATTGGCTGGCATTCTAACCAATAAGGGCATGTCTTCGTTTGGCCCGTTTCATGCACGTGACACATGCGTCCAAATGATGTAGTGTTCGGTTATTAGGGACGACTGGCCTTCGTACACGGTTACAATAAACCTCCCGTTGAAAAAAATCGGTTTAAACTTATTGGTGTATGGCCTCGATGGAAAGAAAGCTTTCCATTAGAACGAATGAGATACGACTTTGATAGCTTGCCCCCTGACACATTTGCCGCCTATGAAAGTAGTTACTGATTCCCCCGCGGTGACCACGCGCGTCTTCAAAACCCGAGGAATTCTCTCAGTTTTCCAAACCGTAAGTTGCACTTCCGTATGAATGCACATGCGTACACATCTGAGATGTGCTCACGTGTCTTGTCACCTGAGACGTTTCTAGAAACCTTCTTTAATCCGCAGTGGAATCAACCCACGTTTATTATACCTTCATAAACTAAGCTGAATTGCTTTTATTATTAAAGTCTTAAAGAAAGTTGCAAGCTCACTGTTAATGTGGTAAGTTCTACGTAAACGTATGGTTGACGGTCGATCCCCGACCTAAAGCTGCCACCTTGACGTGGTGGTCGGGCTTCAGTGCTTCAATGATCCAGCAGGCTACACTGGCTGGAACTTCGTTC